ATATTAATATGTTTGATATTTTATGAGAGATAAATATAAAATATTTATAATTGAAAAGATTGCGCAGCCATAGTGATTGACAGTATGTAGTGCGCATTGAGAAAAGAAGGTGCTCTCCATTTCGTCATGTTCAATTTTTTGGTCAACTATGCCTGTTGAAAATTTGATGGCGGGGAACACATGGGACTTCAAAGGAATCGCGCAAACGTTCTTTACGCGCTGCGGAAACTTTGATATTGGTTCATTTGCATAGCGCTGCGTGCGCGTAGCTTTGCCGAGTGATCTCCTTCTCAATAATACCTCCATGCTGTAACCATAGGTGTAACTCTTCTGTTGACAACCGCTGATGCAGTTATAGGCCTATTATGCAAGTTACAACAACCATGGTTACAGCATGCACGTAAAGATCGTACGCAGCAACTACCCTACGCGGCGCTATTTACACGATTTTTTTAAATTATTTTTCGCCAGTGACGTCACGGTAAAATCGTATATAGTGGCCTATAACTTCATAAACATTTGCCAAAAAACGATTTTAATGTTGATTCTATTATTAATGGCATATCAAAAATCTCCTCTAGAACAAAAAAATCATTTTGCTAGTTCTCTTCTAAAGCTCTGCCTCTCATGACCTTGTGTAAATTATACACCGAGGTACATTGTCCTGTGTTAGGACGATGACAATGTTTGACTTTTTAAATAGCTAGTGATCATTTTATATTATTACTAATACGTATTATTTTTATGTTATATATATACATATTAGGTTATGGTATTATTTAATCCAGAACGAAACAGTAGATTAATTAGTACTGTAGATAAGATACTATGTTATACCACCGTAGTTGGATATGTTGTTAATCTGAACCTTAATTGCTATTCAGTTGGCCTTCGGGATAATTACTTTACCATTGTTTATGTATGTTTTGTTTATAGATACCGTAACTTAATGGGAGCTAACGAATTGCTATTGTAGAAGGACTGTGTTGGTTTTTAATAAAAAGTTTTGTTTTAAATAGTTTAATAATATCTATCGTCAAAAACGTGTAATTTAACATTAATTCAATAATATAGACTTTAGTAATAATACTTACTGTAGAACTTTAATTTACTTTAATTGCATTTGGTGCATTATTTACGTTTACCTAGCGTGTATTATTATTAACTACTTTACTTTTAATTAACGATTTTGTTAAAGTTTCTTTATATCTAACGTATTCGACACTCACGTAAATTATAAGGTGAAAGAGTGTTTTTCGCAAATCTAGATACTTGTATAAAAATGTTTCTCCCAACGCCCGGAAATACTAATCACCTGATACCATTATACAGTAGTCACCTTATTCTAAAAATTACAACGTTCATCAAAAAATAAAATGTTTGTTTCAGCCTAACCTTTGCTATTTTTCAAGCCTAAACAATAAGGACTACAGTACGTAAAGTTGTTGTGAAAGCAGTACAACACCCTGCCAGCCATCATACGTTTCCGGATTATATCTCGTTGAAACTAATGTTTTGACTAGAATCACTAACTACTATAAATCATGTCACTATACACTAGGGTCTCTGTAAAGCACCAGCCAATTTAACATAACATATATCAAATCACTAATCTAGTTTACCAACGTTTTGAAAAAGGTTGTCGTATTTACAGTGTAAAATAATAGTCTAAAATATATACATTTCGAACTACGGCGGCTACACACCGGCTCCCTAATTGCGAGATTTATTTTCGCAATTATACAAACACAATACAAATACTAGCTAAATAAAGTATATATACTAAAACACTTGAAACAAAATTAATTAAAGCCATGTATACAATTTCTAAGTCAACAATTTCAACTATTTTCAATCGTTTCGCAATCGCGATCATCCGATCGCACAATATAATGATAAAATAACATAGTCATAAAATTAAAAAAATCATAGTTAAGTTTACGAATTATGAATATCACTTTCCAAAAGCTTAACTAATTTAGATATTGGCCTCAATAATTCGTTATTCTTAGTTTTAACTTTAACTTGTCTCATAAGACCGTGTTTGTCGGGAATTAGTTCACTGATTTTACCTAAATGCCAGTAATTTCTATGCAAATTATTTTCCACAATAAGAACAATGTCCCCAATTTTTAAATTGTCCTTTAATTGAGTCCATTTCTGTCTTTCTTGCAAATTAGGTAAATATTCCTTGGTCCATCTTTTCCAGAAAATGTCCGCTAAATATTGTACTTGTCTCCATCTGCGTTTCGGGTAATTATCGTTCTTACTAAATGTCCCTGGAGGAAACCCTGTGTCCGTTTTTAACAAAATAAGTTGATTCGGCGATAAAGCTTGTAGATCGTTAGGATCATCCGATAGTTTCGTTATCGGCCTATTGTTTTTGATCGATTGGACTTCGCAAAACAATGTACTTAAGTTTTCTTCGTCAAGTACTTGTTCCTTAAGCAGGCAAGATAAGATGTTAAGAACAGTTTTTATTTGTCTTTCGAAACAACCACCGTGATGAGAGCCAGTCGGGGGTTAAATTTCCATTCAATGTTTCTTTGAATTAGATGTCTTTCAATCGCGTCATAATTCCATTTTGCAATTTTTCCCTTTAATTCTCTTTCCGCTGAAACGAAATTGGTTCCATTGTCACTTCGAATTAAATTTGGTTTTCCCCTTCGAGCTATGAACCGCCGAAGTGCGTTAATAAATGAACCTGTGTCTAAAGATTGGGCACTTCCAATGTGAATTGCTCTGGTTGTTAAGCACGTAAAAATAACTCCATATGCTATATATAGATGTAATTAATATTATTCTTATTATAGGTATCACGATATGGCAGATGTTATCGACTTTCTTGTGCTGCGTCAACATTACGACATTTCAATGCAGCGTGATTGGAAGGCGGGTGACCGGTTCCGCGCAATGATTGATGATGCATGGTGGCTTGGAACGATTGCATCCCAAGAACCATTTCAAGAAGACTATCCAGACAGCATGTTTCAGTGTTTTAATGTGAAGTACGTCATTATTTTCATATCAACAAACAGTGTTTGATAATATTTAAAATTTTGTATCACTCACAGACTAAAATTGTAATTATAGTAGATACCTAATCACTCTTGTACAGTTCACACCATTGTTCATAAAATCTAATAATTTGTTTTTTTATTCATTAGTTGGGATAATGGAGAAAAAGAAAAGATGAGTCCATGGGATCTGGAACCTTTGGATGAAGACAGTAAGTTTATAAATCATTGTATTAGTTTCACTCGAACATGTGTATGGTAAAGGTAAAAGGATATAAACAAACAAGCAAAGCCTATTATGTATTCTGTGTTCAGTTATTACCTTTCACATAGACATGCACAGTATTCGTTTGAATTGCAATTCTATTTGTTTAGATTTAACCTCAACAATAGCATATTAATAGTTGGTTATCATTCCTTACTCCAAGATGTGTATAAGAGACAGGGTATGTATGGTTCAAGCTGCTTTCCAATTTCTTGAATAGCTGTTTGCCTCCTCACCCTATCATGATACGATCTGCTTTTTGTGTCCCACAAACAAGGGGAACCAAATAGCAATGAAATGAATTTTTCGTTTTCTTCGGTAGAAAATCGTCGCGCTGACATTTTTTTCAGATAAAAAAAATACAGAGCGAGCTTGCTCTTATAAAAAAAAATAACACACTGTGATTGGCCAATATCAAAAATTTGACAACTTTTTGACAGACAACATCAAAAAAAGTTGAACATTGAACAAAAGTTCAACTTTTTTTGATACAATTTGATTATATGTGATATGACGTCATCGTGCCCATATATGGGCACATCACATTTTTTTGTCACATAAAATTTGATAGTGTAGACAAAGCTTTAGGCTATGTTCAGACACAACGACTTACGCTAGCGTAACGTTAATCGAGTGGTGTGAACTTGTGCTCGGCGTAGCGAACGCCAGTATTATTGCGCAATCACTGGCGTACGGTAATCCAGCAACAGACCCCAGATTAGCGTACGCCACTGATTTACGACAGTCATGCATCGGTGATTTTGAACTCTGCCAAGATTTGACCAATCAAAATAAACCTAGATGTAAACTTTATTAAACATTAATGGCCCAGTCTGGACATCTCGCTAGTTACGCCATGGATTAACGTACGCCCGGCGTTAGATACGCCTGGCGTATCTCACAGGTCTGAACGTAGCCTTAATGCGTTCAGGTATTGGGTATTATTTTTTACACTTCTGCAAAGTTAATCTTTTTCTTTTTCAATCTATATGACACTATATTTAGTCAACATAAATTTTATTGTATATATTTGCTAAATGAAATATATGTAGGCCTACGTATAAATAAAATGATATACAATTTCATATTATGTTTATTATACAACAGTTTAGAGTGTCATTTGTTGGCCTATGTTTAGGTATAGCTTATTATTGTTGACTCTTTTCTGCCAAATTAAGCTTCATGATTTGGTAGAATGTCTGCGTATATTGCACCATCATCATCTTTATCGTATCGTCATCGTCAATATCATCATCATCATTATCATCAGCGTCATCCTCATCATCATTAGTAAAATTGAACAATTGATTGGGTTGAATGTTTACCTTAATAGAATATTGTTATTGTTATTTTAGTATTTATATAGCGTCTATTCCTTTAGGTTACAAGTTTGTTTTCCCTGGTCATTGGGTCCACATGCTTAAGTGTTGCTGCCATATTGGTGCAGTAGCAGGCACCCATTTACTCATGGGTGGAGAGAAGCAATGTAGATAAAGTGCCTTGCTTAAAAACACAAGCGAAATGCACAGCGAGCGATTGACACCCCGAGACCTCGATGTTGGGAAACCAAACCGTTCGCGCTGCACAAACCGCTCCCGACAATACTGAGGTGTAACTCATCATTCTATTTATGCTCAAAGAAATTATTGAACTATTACTGAATTATTATCATCACCGTATGTGATTTGTATTTTTCTGAGAGAGAGTACATGGCCTTTTATTTTTAAGTAATTTTATTTTTGTACTCTGTATATTATATGAAAATGTAAAAAGTGAAATGAATAAAGGTAGGTGCACCCCCACAAAAGTACAGTGGCTGATTTCCTCCAAACAGCAAAAAAAAATAAAAAATAAAAATAAAAATAAAAAAAATTAGGGCGTTATAACGCCCTATTACGGCGTAATAACTCCCTAATTAGGGCGTTATAACGCCCTAATTTGAAGTATATTTTGGTAGTCGTTTTGACGGCTGGGGCATGGTCTACTCTTTAATATAAGTATGGAACGCAAATGGAGTGCTCCCGACCCAATTTTAAGCCACTGGAGCACAGCGATATAGAATAGGGATAACTACAGTTGGGTATCTAGACAACTTGAAATGGGGGAAACTGGAGGAGGCAAGGGGCCAACTATAGCACGCAACGTCGAGGGCCGAAGGCCCGAGCCAAAGGGTGGGTATAACGCCCTAATACGACGTTATTACGCCCTAATTAGGGCGTTATAACGCCGTAATAGGGCGTTATAACGCCCTAATACAATTTTTTTTTTTGCTGTTTGGCGGAAATCAGCCACCGTACAAAAGAAAGAGAAAAAGAAATTATTGAATACAAATTTCAAATTCACAAACACTGAATATAACAGTTGATCAGGTTATATACGTTTATTGCACTAATGTACATCTTGAAAATGGCAGACAAAAATAAACAAAAAAATGACGACAAACAAAGAGGGCCTCTTTGAGGCAGATCTACCAGTTGGCCCAGCGTATTTGTTGAACGTCCTAACATCGCGCTCGTTACAGTGGTTTGTGTTGTCTCCTAAGCACGCTGCGTACTTCATCACGTGCATGATGTAATTCTGTTCGTGGACGCCGTGTAGCAGATGAGCCATCGGCCCTTCAGCGTATATAGAAACGTCCTCACCACCATGACTTCCAGTGAAACGTGGAACTAACGCTTGTTGGATGTAAATCTTTGATTCTACATCGGAAAGGTAAATAAACACGTGGTTAGCTGTCAGAATTGTCAGGTTTTGGTTTATTATTTTTATTTTTCTGTTAAGTTGTCACCTTCACTCATACAAAGACTTGTAACATCACCACAGGCCACCAACAAAAGAAAGTTAATTATTTTAACACCTTTTCTCGAGAATTTATTTTTATGTATATAATATAATTTATATTACTTAATTAAATAAGCGGGTATTATAGTATTGTAATGATCAAAGAGGACAGGGTCGTCAATTCTCGTAATCAACAGGTATAGTTTTCGAAAAGCAGCAGTTATCAACCAAAACTTTTAGCGTATTGTTGTGGTCATTTATGGTGACTTGTCTTCTGTGGTTTCAGCAAACCAGATTCAACATAGTTCAGGGTTTTGTCTTAAGCCGGGCACTTACTGCTCCCAGGGTCGCCGGCCGACGCGATTCTATAACGACGAACACAACGCTCCGGCGCTCGCGCAACGGATCGTTTTTAATGACGATCCGTTTAGACTGCCACCGATCGGCACCGCGTCGCATAGCGCTCACAAGGAGAGGAGATGAATTTGTCGGCCGACGGTCGTACTACGTAGTGAGTACCGTTACTCGGCTTTAGACAACGTTGTTATAGGTCTGTTGTCATATTAAGCTGCACCTGCCTGTTATATTTCCTGGGTCCAGACGTCTTCCAAATATAGTAAAGCCCGCCAATGTTACGATGCCACCAGGGCCATTAGCGTACGACAGTGTTGTGTAAGGCAAGCCATCAAGACCAACAGCACCATCAACCTTACCTGAGAAACACAATAACTGTAAATTAATCTAACAGGGCTTTGACCATAAAGGAAATTAATGTTGCTGTGTGTTTACCAAGAAAAATTGACAATTTAGGGGTTTCAAAGGCTTTTTTAATCGATTTTGGAGTCTACTAATATGTAGAAAATAAATATAAATCTTTCTCCCTGACAAATAGTGGTTATCTCTCTAACCGGAGTGGGGAAGGGGGGCAGTGCAGCTCTCCTCGACGGGGCCCTGTCCCCCACCCCCGGCTCCTCGCTGGCGTCACTTCTTTAAAGTTCGACTGTATGGCGGGTGGCGCAATTTTCGAGTTGCCACATCCTTACACTTTCTTTCAACTCAACCCAGACCATTGGGACTGAGTTTGGTGTGGAGGGATGGCACCAATTGTGGTTTTTCTCACTGACGGAGGAAGGGCAGCTCTTCCCGACGGGGAGCCACGCCTGCTCATCTGTGGTACTTGACCCCACCACTCAAACTTTTAATACACCCCCTAATAAATCTCTACGACCCTGGCCCCTTATTTATTGTCGGCGAAATCTCCTTTTATCTAAAAGTGTGTCGTCGGAATTTGACATTCAGTTACTATAGTCGACCTTAAGGTCAAGCCATATAACACTAAGATTACCGATATTGTTCTCGACTTTACCCCTGCGTTATCAGGGGTGGCGCCAGGATTTGCCCGACGGGGGCAGGGGGCCAAGGTCCCCGACAAGGGGGGGGGGGGCAATGCCCCGACGAGGGGTCAGATTTCCCCGACGAAAACAAAGTGGGCCTGGTCGAGCTTCGATTAAAAGGTTACGTAGGTGGTCCTGGGGCCGAAGCCCCCAAAATGTTTTGACAATTTAGGGGTTTCAAGGCTTATTTGATCGATTTTAGAGTCTACTAATATGTAGAAAATGTATATAATTTTTTTTTCTCTCCGACGAATTGTGCTTTTTCTCCCCGAGGGAGGGGGGCAGCTCTCTCTCCCAGACCCCACCCCCTTTGGCGCCACCCCTGTGCGTTACAATTACATTAATCAAAAATATAAATAATCAAGAGCGACAATGATGGTGAGAATAACAAAAACAATTTCATAAAATGGTGGTTAAATTTGAGTAGGTTTTTGCGAGACCGGCCATAAGTATTACCTTCAACAAGTAGGAAGAATCCTTTGTCATTTTTCTTCAGAATCCTTATGGCCTTCTCCGTCATCTCAGCAATGGATGGTTCGCCAGCAGTATCATTAAACCGGAACGATTCGTAATTCATGCTACCGTAGTCAAACAGACCTTAGACGATACAAGAAAAAATCAGTCGTGAATCTGAGTAAGTTTTTAGAGACCAACAGTTTTTGCCCTTAAAAACCAGTAGGAAGAAACATTTGTCAATTTTATTTAGAAGCCTAATTATGGCCTTTTCCGTCGTCTCAGCAATGGAGGTTCGCCAGCAGTAGGCCTATCGCTAAACCGGACAATTCGTAATGCATGCTGCCGTCGCAATTTATACAAACCTTAGACAATACAAAAAAAAATGAAAATCAGGGTCGAACCCAGGATTATCATGGGGGTGCATGGAAGGGGGTGTGCAAGATGTACCAAACAGAATCAGAAGGACAGAAAACAGAGCCAGTTATTGGGTCGTAGTTTCGATTTTTCATTACTACGCCACCTTTAATACCATGGCCTAATGATAGATTGCTAGTTAAAATTAAAAGATTTTATGATTCCTTAATTATTTTTTTACAGAAAATAACAAATTTTTGTATTCAGTAACTGTGAACTGTCTTAAAAATTGAATCTTTTTTTCCGATTTGAGAGAGTGCGTGCGTACGCCCTGGATATGGGCATGGAAAATAGGCTAAGTGTTCTCTATCAGCTGCGCCTCACACTAGTCTTGTGTAGTTTTTAATTTCATTATGTTCTTTTCTCACCTAAAAGATGGTCTGTTTCTTCCGGGTTAATTTCGTCAAAGTCAGCTTGATTCCAGACATAATGTGTTGTTGACTCCGGAGGTTTTGAGTCGATCCACTCCTTGATCAAATTGCGACGATCTTTTCTTTGTCCAGGCAGAAGATCATGTTCTGGATCGCGCATGTTGTCTCCAAGGAACTTGCCTCTGCCCCCTGCCAGAGCCACCTATTGGAATGCGGTCATAGAAGCCATTACCAGCTATGCATGCTGCTGGGGAAACTTATGACAACATGGAAGACTATGATAGTAAATGAACGATGACAAAAAAAAAATATATTGATGTTGTTTTTGAGAATGCATTATGATAATGATGATGATGATGATGACGATGATACCATTGGGATGGTGATTAGGCCTATATGTTTTCAAGGGGTGGGGAAGCCGGCCCGGGCACTATAACTATAAAATAATGAAGAAAAGGTGAAGCATATCAAAGTGTCTGAGATTAACATTTCCGGCTACCTAGAGGTGCCATAAATGTCATAAAATGCCTTGGTTTCAGTGCAATCGAGAAAGGTCCCCGATTCCGACCAATCAGCATCATCGAGCTGCTGTCGGCGATAGCGTACGTGTAGCGATTGTATGGAAACCAAGCTTTACATAAGCCCAACAATGGCGGTACTGAGGTGGTAGGCTATTGACACCACATCTGTGAAAGTGCTTCCCTGGGCCCCTCTATTTCGAATTTCTGGATCCGCTCGCCACTGTAAATAATACGGAGGGGAGGATCGTAAACATCAAACGACGATGACGTGATGAAAGTGATTTATAACGAAGGCGATTTACGGCCGTAAGGATAATGACCATAACAATCATGGTATTCGAGTTATTAAAAGGAAAAATTGGAAAAAAAAAATACAATTCTGATTATTACATCAATGTCGATATTTTCTACAAACTGTAGCGCAATGTCTTTGCATCCTAGACCACTTTCTTCGTCCGGTATGTCGGCATCACACTCCCAGTTTCTCTCAGGCACATGCGCATAGAGTGCTGACGGAGTTGCGTGTGTTAATCGTGTGGTGGTTACGATGCCAACAGATTTTCCTATCAATAAATGAATATCAAAACCTCAATTTAGTTTGAGATTGGTATAATATGTTAATCCATGATCAGGTATAAAACAAATCCACACTTTCATTAAAGTAAAACAAATTAGGGATTAAAAAAAAGAGATAAATTTGTTCAAGTGATAATGGAAAAACGAAGTTGACCTACAGCTGAACACCTTCATTTGGGACAGCCCTATTAAGAGGACACCCCTATTAAAGGAACATCCCTATTAAAGCCGGGGACACATTTCGGTATAAGAGTGTCTTTTAACACCACGGCTAGTCCCTATCAGGGGACACCCCTATTAAATGGACACTCCAAATGGTGTCCTTTTAATATGGGTTCTACTGTATGTTTTGCAATACCGGCATCTTTTGCCAACTTCAAGATGGAGTCAACATCTGATCCATAAGAGGACAGACAGTTACTTCGTTTAGCCCTGCCGTCCTGGCCTATCACTCCGCGATTCGTCTTGGTGCCACAAAGGTAAGCTGTTGCTGTACCGGCTGAGTCGGGTGTCTGCGAGTCGATGTTGTAGGTCTGAAAATACAGGTAATTGGTAGATATAAGAGGTTGTGCATAGGCCTATAACAAGTGGGGTATCTATAGTCGTGAAATAGGGAGGGAGATGATGGGGAGCCAGGCCCGAGAAGCTCTGGCGCCTATACCTTTTAATTGATTTTAAGCAATGCAATTAACATTTACTTCCATACGAAATATTCAAAATATCCAGGGCGGATCCAGTAATTTGAAATAGAGCTTGGCCCAGAGAGGGAATTTTACAGATGGAGAGTGTAGACCACCTCAGCCCCACCATGGTTGGGGCTGAGGTAAGAAAATTTATGATTATGGCACCTCTAGTTGGTCGGAGATGGCACTCTCAAATTAAATTTGAATATAATTTTCATTTTCCTCCACTTTTAAATTTCGAAAAAAATACTTAGGGATGGTGTGCCGGATTGAAATACTCATCATAAAAGGTTTTTAAAATTATCCTTTTAGTCATAATTATACCCGCTTCTTATATATTTCGTGCAAACTAACATTCATAAAAATAACGATTTATTAACTACTGATTAGCTTGTGACGTATTCAAAATTCGAACCATGAAAAACAAATAAGATAAACTTAAAACAGTGATTAATTTAGTCTTTTTGCATGTACACTACTTTTAAAATCAATCAAGAAATTTTTGCTCTTCTCCCCTTTTTGAATTGTACTTTTATATTAGTAATATTGCGACTACACTATTGTGAGTGGAAATAATATCAGTTTAATGTCAAATAAAGTGAAATCACCTCGACCTGACGAAATAACGTAAAATTATCAGCCATACATATTGCTCCAAAAGCTCTAAAAAATACGACATGTTTCTTCTTGCAACATTTTCGTTTAAGAGCGAGAATAGCCTAGCAAAAGTGTTTTACGCTGCCATCAGCGTTTAGGTCATTTTCTGTCTTTCCACAGTCGTATCTCAGCAAATACTTGTCGGATTTTTGTGTTCCCTTCTGTGTTTGGAAGGCAATCCTTTTCTGATTGCTTTAGTATTTGTTTCAATTGTATTATTGCTTAAAAAAAAAAGTCACCGTCATTTTTCACTTTTCGATTGGTGCTATGCTGACAGCCCACCAGGTAGAGGCTGCATTTTTACCTCTTTTTAGCGACTCCGTTGGCTTTAATTGCCATTTCGGCTGTTCACCAATCAAATATCTTGTTGTTCATTTCTCCCAGTAAACGGAAAGCTGAATATTCATAGATTCTTCTCATATATAAAATATATGAATTCCCATTGGATGAAAAAAAAATCACCATCAAAACACATGTATTTAAAATTTGGAGAATTTGGTTGTAATAAAAATATAAAAAGTGATGCAGTAACTTGGGTCATTAAAGAGTACAATATTTCCTTGAAGGCCCTACTCATTTCACTAACGAGTTACTAAAAAATTATCAGTAATGAAATATTTGTGTAGGTCTACAGAGGGGTGCTCAAATTAAACATAGGCTTACATTGAAACTCAGATCGTCGGGGGTGGGTGAGGGTGGTTCCCCTGCCGCTTGGATCCCCCGCCCCAGCCAACTGGTATAGTCATTCACGCATTTCAAATCTCTCAGGTTGGTTCTATGAATAAACAATCAACAAACTACCGGGTTGCTGGTTAATTTGCAAGGTACTACATGGCTCAACTATTTTTTACTTAGGAGTTAAAAATCGCACACAAATCATACGACGTCACTGACAACGCCGGGGACGGCAACTCGATTTTGTAATTAATTTTCCGAATAAATACTAAATAACTTCTAATGCATGACGAACTATTGTCTTCAGTTGTCTTTGTTGGCCATTCAACTGTCATTTTATTTATTTTTTCGGTGATATTATCATTCTCAATAATCTATAAAACGCCCACATAACAACGTCACGTTAGATCGTTCGGTGGGGACGCCGTGGTGACGCCGGTAGAGTCACTTTTCGTCGGAAGGCATCAAGATGATAAACAGTTTCATTGGACTAAATTCTTGATTATGTTAACCACATGCTTACATTAAGATTATACTGACACTGGTTTCAAATCAGGGTCAAGTAGTTAAAAATCACTAAATTAACCTTATTTTGCGAATTAGCGCCCTTCAACTGATCATCAAGCCCCCCCGGTAACATCAATGTGTTTTTCAAAATCAGACACCCCCCACACTTCCCCTTCGCCCACCCAGACATTTCAAGACATCTAGATACGCCACTAACTTACATGGCCAAATGAATGAAAATACTCAATCGATGTGCCACCAAATCGTAACCAGCCTTCACCATGCCCTCACGATGTCACCGGGGACGCAACTGCCAAAAAACTATTGTTGGCAGCGAAGGGACGCTACAATAAACAATCAAAAAACAACCGGGTTTCTGGGTTGGTTTGCAAGATAATACATAGCTCAACTACTGTTTTACTTAGGGAGGATTTAATTGGTAAAAATCGTACACAAATCATACGACGTCACTGACAACGCCGGGGACGGCAACTCGTATTTGAGATTAATTTTCCGAATAGAATAATTACTATACTAGGCCTATTAATGCTGAGGTGTCTATCTGTGAAAGTCCCTCTCTGGGCACACTCTATTTCTAATTTCTGGATCCATCACTTTAAGGACTTCCACATCTGAGCGAAGCTCAGGGAAAATCCTAGATCCGCGGCTGGGGGAGAAGGTAAGTGATTTTTATCTACTAATTGAGTGTGATTTTTTTTGCTTTGAACATTCAATGTGGGAGGGGAGTATTTTTAGAGGGGGGGGGGAAGCCGTGCGTTCCCGCCCTAAGATGCACAATTGCATATAACATATCAAGGACAGGTTTTTCTCAAGTACCGTATTGTCTAAACGCTATGAATAACTATAAATCACATGACAGAATCTTTGGCATGGGAAAGCACCTCCTCTTTGATAATCAATACATTTTTCTTTGTCATGGCGAACAATTTCATAAAGTTTTTAAAATGCAATTATCATTTTTTGTAGGTATCTAGTCGGGAACTTCCCTTTAAATGGTCTTCATCTCCACACCCACTACTCCAGATCGTCACCAAAATTTACTCATGTTTCTGCCCTTGACCATGAAGAACCATTTAAAGAACTTTCATTCAGATCCATTAGTGAATCATTTGAGATATTTAGGTCTGGGACTTTAGCAATTATGTCCCCCAAATCCATATCCGAATATGGATCGTCACCAAAATTGTATATTTTTTTTGTAACTTGGTTAACTCTTCTAGAAAGTTTCATACAGACCATTAGATCAGTTTTTTGAGATATCTAGTGTGGGGTGCTTTTCTTTTGGTCCCCACTCTGGATCGTCAAAAAAAAAAAAAAAAAAAAAAAAAATGAAATCTTCCATTCGATATCAGAAATAATCTGTGAAAATCTAATGCATGAGACCTAAAACTGTAGGCTGGAAGATGCAGTGGCGTAACGATGGGGTCGGGGGCTCTGTGTCTCTATGAGACGGGGCCCTTTCATTGGTGGCGCCAGCGGGGAAAGTGAAAGGTGAATTTTCCCCCGTCGGACAGGCCTGTACCCCTGTCGTCTGACGCCACGACGATACCGTCGGATCAAAAATTAAGAAAAAATATTATGTTACTATTCAAATAACTTTATCTTAATTGTCAATCCCAATTGTTGTGGTCTGAAAGCACAATTTCGACCATACTATTAAGCGCTAAAAACTTTCTCGTGAATCCTACCAAGGCACTCATTTACCGGATCTTTACACTCGAACGACAACGAATCAGGTACCGGACCTCTTGCCACAGCGTTTTTAGTCAGGAACCAGAGGACAGCATCGAGGGTCTATCGGCCCCTTGGAATTCAGACCCCAATGTCGGACCCCTTGGCAATTTTCTGGAGCCACCGCTGGGCCCTTTTTGGGTCTCATCTATTATTCCATCGTTGGATTTTAGATGTGCTCGTTTTTTAACCATGTTTGTCATTGTTATTCTAATCAGTATTTTTAGCGGCGAATAAAATAATTATATAATGTCTGTGGGGGATCCAGTAATAGATGTGGACCAGGGATGAACTTTCAGAGATGGAGGGTCTACCACCTCAGCTGTACCATGGTTGGGGCTGAGGTAATAAAATTGATGATCGTGGCACCTTTGGATGGCGGGAAATGGTACTCACAGACTTAAAATTGTGAATATAATTTTCTTTTTTTCTTATTAAAACAGGGGCGCCCTTTAATCCGCCGCACTGGATATATGTCCTACAGTCGATGTCAGAGGGACACATTATGCTGTTATGTATCAACAAAGCCCGTTTTGGTGAGGGTGATAGGTCGAGGTCCATAAAGGTGGGGCCCCCTATGGGTCGGGGGGCCCTTCGGACCGCCGCACGAGAGCGCATAGGCGTTACGCGACTGGGAGGATGTTAACAAACAGAGAAACACTGACAAACACATAAAAACACAAGAAAAATCCCATGAAAATATAACCTCATTGCATAAATAAGTAAGAGGCCTCGGTGTAGTCTCCTAAATTCAACATTCAACATTCAACCTAATTTTATTGGTCCAATCAACACAAGATAAAGTCCTACCTTTGATAGTCCCACGTGTGGAAACATTTCCCATGATAGGACATGCTCCTCACCCGATTTTCCTATCTTCTGTCCCTGCAGGATCCGTGCTGCTGTCACAGTGGGAATTCCCATCCCATCCCCGATGAATATTATTATGTTCTTGGCAACATTTTCATTTAAATTTTGTAAATTAATGGCTTTCTCCAATGTCTGGCTAGCCTGGCGATTCCAGAAATCAGCATCTAGGGATAAAATGTACAAAGTTGTATTGTCATATCGGCAATACTCGGTTTACAATCGCTACACAGTCGTACAGCATGAGTGAGAAAGGTGGGACTTACAAGATCGTTTCCCTTGTATCATATTCAATTAATTATGACACATTATGAAATATCACTGAATTATACTCCTGAATTTCAAAATGAAACTTTAGGGAATATTATTTTTCACGATTTTTCAAACTTATGAGTATTTATTAAACTTGGAAATCACTTACATGTGAGATAGGCCTACCTGTGTCCATAATTATAAATATTGATATCTTTTTTAAATTCTAGAAAATTGGATAAAGGATAATGATAACACTAGTAGAGTAGACTAAATGCCTTACAATAATAACATTTTTAAAATGTAAGTCAGCAGAACCCCTAATAAAAGAACACCGTTTGGAATAGAAAAAAGTGTTCCCAAAATAGAAGTAACCCTATTAAGGGGACACAAACCAAAAACGTGATTGTCCCCTTATTAGGTTTTTTGGCATTTGGTCATGAAATGAAGACAAAAATTCTTTATAATTTTATTTCAGTTGACCTTAAAACAAGTTACAATATAAATTAAACTAAATTGCAACAATAAGGTGCATTTCAAATACAATACATTTATTATGAAATTAAAATAATTGTAATTAAAACAACAAAAGTTGTATATTGTTCCAGGTTCCAGTAGTGAGAGACTCTGAATGAATAAAGTACACTGTCGGCCTCCGATATCCATTTAAAGATGAAGAAAAAATTGTCATTTTATCGCTCTTGAAAAGTTGTGTCAAATAATTCTGAATGAAATAATATTGTAAGTTTTGAATAGGCCTACGAAAAATGTTCCCTTAACAGGGGTTGAAAATGTGCAGTCAGATAGCGTCCCCTCGGCCCCTTACGATTGTGTCTTTCCAGGTTAGTGTGTTAACATGCAATTTCCCTTCGTTTCACGGAAATATGGGTGTCCCCTGATTACGGTGTCCCAAAAGGAGGGGTTCTACTGTGTTATAGTTTTTATTAATAGAGTATTATATTAAATGTGTTGGATTTTGTAATAATTGGATTAGCCTGAAGTCCTACTTGAACATCCATACAGGGCGAGACACGTGTCACCTATGTCACAAGTAGGCCTACTGTATTCATAACAAAAAATGGATTTAACTGATAGGCCTACTAACAGTGCTTTTCTTCTCACACTTACTTTGTGCAGTTCCCACCATAAACCATCCAAAATTAAATACAATTATTGCCCTGATTGTGCGTTCCATTTTGCAACCGGTAGCTGTTTGATTCTTGCTTATGCATAAAACACGGGAATCATTCAAACTTTGATTCCTTTAGTTTGTTTAACTTCCGATAATTACAAAACTTTGACCTTTTCAATGAGATAAATATGCCTATTGTATCTCGAAGAGTACATCATTAATTCTGCAGTAACTTAAAATACCATTTGTCACAAAATATCAAAATCTTTAAAAAATATAACAAGGAATACGCATAGGCCTATAAAACATCATGCCTCAGTTTCTAACAATGATGTAACACTAAAACAAATAAAGATTTTATTGATGATAAATATTACAGGGTAACAAAAATCATTTCCAATTTAAGAACGGTAATGTTTATACATCTGTTATTTGATGGGGACAATTAATTTTTATTATTTTTCCCACTTGAAAGTTATAGGCCTACTAATTACTTACAAATAGTAAGCAATTGAACAACTCTATTTAATTTTTACTATTAGCGCCCTCAGGAACAGCGGCATTTGGGCTGTTCTAAAATTCGAAGTACAGGTAAAGATCATTCATGATAACTTTAATCTTGACAATCCAATAACTTGATGAATAAAAAAAAATGTTTGTGACATAGTCCCATTTAAAGTCTGTAAATTCAATACGGCGGTATCTGACAAAACCAAAATAATAAGACATCACTAACTTAGAATAAGACTAAAGAGACAGCACTCTGGCCACTGGCACGCTTGTATATTTCACTATAACTCCCCTGTTTCAAGAATGAACGAATCTAATCTGTATCTCATGGAGATCATCGTAATTTCCGTAAACAATCCAACATGGCTGCGGACGCCTAAAGTAAACAGTGAACTTTTTGGATAGTTAAAAGCCAGTAATGAAACTAATTTCGAAGTAGAAGTTGTTTCAACAACATAAAGTATTATTGTTTTGAGTAGCCAGTTATTGGTTTACCATCATGTCTGAATTGGAGGCGGCAAAAACGCCGCTGAATAGGGTGAAAGCTGGAGTTAAACGCCAACCAAGTGCCGCCGGGGATCCCAAGAACAAATCAAGGCTGGCAGCACTAGCCCCTGGCGAAAATCTGAAAGAAAAACAGGTGAGAACACATAATTGGCCTAGCGTAACCCTGGGCCTAGTTCGATGATTTGACATTGAAAGAGATGTATTTATTATCTGTCGGGTGTTATAAGATGTAGGTATATTAGATGTAGGTAGTAGAAGGAATAGGTGTCAAACATCCAGTGAAACATTCTGCAATAATTTACAAACTCAACTAGGCCTAGGCTTAGTTAGGGGCCTAGGCCTATAACTGTAGGCCTCTATATAGGCTGGCCTACTACTTTTTTGCTAACTCAGATCCAGGCAGGAGGAGGAGTAAACTCATAGGATAAGCCTAGACATATAGGTCATACACTTAAACCTATGTAGGCCTGGGTCTGATAAAAGTTTAAGGAAAGTAGACTATTTAGGTGCCTAGGAATAGTAATATTAATAATAATAGGCCCTAGCAATAGGCTCTTGGCCTGAACTGTATTGTAGCTAGGCCTAGGGCCTAACTTTTGTAGGAAGCCAATTATTTTTTTAACAAGAATATTTCAAAGTGCTCACCATTCCATCTTCAATTAGTTAGAGGGTTAGCTTTGTGTTAGAATTAAAATAAAAGATTGACAATTGTTTAAATTTGGTTCTTTGAAAAAGTGGTCTCGAATTAGAGGGGACTCAGAATTAGAAGGGTCTTAAATATTGGAGGGTGCAGCACTCTAGAATTAGAAGTATTGTTTAAGTGTTGACAATGGAAGATTAGGCTAAATGTTTTTGTTATTGTAAGAAAGGCTATGAAATATGTTATTCTTTGCCAGTATTCAATTTAACTTTTAACATTATCTTTGAATTATTGTTTTCATGTGTTCTTTAAATCATCATTATCATTTACTGTACCATTCTTGCATTTCATGAGATTGTTTTTAAAACATGCAGTGTTATTTCTAATATTAAAAGAAACTAATAATATTGAAATATTGATACAGTATATAAATACTTTGACTTTAATATTTAAAAGATAAATTTACTCAGCGAAAGCATGAAAAATTTATAAAATTTATGAGTCAGTTTACATTTATAATAATGTTAATTGTTAATAATATTAATATTATATTGATTTTATAATTTTGTAGTTTTAATTAGGGCACATAGAAAAAATTATTAGATTATCACTTAAAAAAAAAAAATTGATGAGGGAGGGTGTTTTTTTTTTTGTTTTTTTTTTAATCGGAACAATAGATTATTTTGCTTTTGTTTTTATCGATGAGGAAGGGGCTGTTTGTATTTGGTCTGTAGTAGTAAACAAGTATAAAAATTGGTTTAATTTTATAGTTTTTTAAAGAAAATGTATTTGAAATGTATTTTTCTATTTGCCCTTATCCCTCCCTATACAGGGTCCTTATCAACTTTGAATTCATGTTTGAATTTGACAAACCATGTCTTGCCGAGCTTGAATGTCGTATAAAGCGGCTAACGAATCAATATAATTGATTATAACAACCATACAGTCCTGTCACATAATTAAAACCATGCTTGACGCACTTCCTCTTTTTCATTGTTATTCTCTTGTGGCAACATCGTATTACCAGATTACAAGGAAGCGCTTGTTGATGTAGTTTAAATTATATCCCTCAGTAAAGCCAAAAAAAATGTTTGACAATGTTGTTTGTACTGATTTTTCTAAAGCTTCTACAGACTTTCATATTTTGCCTAAATATGATCATGACAATTACAACATCATGACCATATATAAGCACATCATGACTATATATGGGCACATCATGACTATATATGGGCATACATCAGTTTTTTTTAAATTTGATAGTGTTGGTAGAGCTTAAGATGCTGGAGGAGTGTTTGACATAAAACTTAGGAACGAGTTATGATTTAGCTCCGTTGAGACCTGAATAGGAGATAAAATCACTAATAATAATAATAATAATAATAAGATAAAGATATAAATGATAATGTTAATGCAAAATTTATACCTGTGTAAACTAATTTGTTTTCACACATTGATCGTCCAGTGAATTTAATTGGCTAGGAGTCTATGAACTAGCAATATTTCATTTTTAATAATAAAAAAAAAAATTGACTAATAATATTTAAAATAGACCTACACATGTCTATTCTAAGGCTTACCACTGAGATGCATTATGAGATATTCCATGGATGTACAGTAGGCCTAACTGTGACTCCATGAATTGAAGAATTTAGCCTTTACCAATACACTATTTTAGATGAACGTTAATTGAATGTTATATCAAGATTTAAGGGTAGCATACGTATACAGTATTGTACTAACTGTACTACCAAACTACTAGTTTATCTATTTACCAAAGGATAGTGCAGTATAGTTTGTAATGATCTGCATTTGGTTGCTATGACATTTGGGAGAGTCCATTATTTTGGTTGGTAAATTTGCAATATTTGATCAATATTGATTATGTCATGGTTGTAGCTACTTCTGTCATAGTAGTTATAATTAGGTGGTTGCTAAATAGTCCATAATGCGTTTAATTACAACCGGTATCCTTTTTTAATCCATTCCTTCCTTCGCTGATTTGCTATTGTACTTTCAAAGGAAACTGACATTGATTTTTTAATGAAGCAACTTATAGAGTATCTCAAATATTTATGACACACAAGTGCAGTTTTTAAGTGGTTTTTAATAATACTAAGTAAATTAGGCATACTGTTTAGCAAGCCCATAACCCAGATTTATTAGGGGAATAGAGGTGGGGTTAGTGCTCCTCAAAGGCAAGGATTGAAGCCCTCTGGAGTATTGTAGCAATTTAATATTGAATTTTCTTTATCTGGATTTTTTATGCGAGTGAAAGAAGCAGTTTTGTTATGTATTATAGAGGGTGGGTGAAAGGTGAAGGTTCCAGCATGGCATTCTGGCATGGCCAAGCAATAAGTCAGGTGCGCTGTTAATAATTTTACAGACTTAACTTTGGCGCTTCGTTTCAACTCCTGTCATTGTGGAATGATGTGAACATGTAGTTTAACTATAAGTGCCTCTTTACAATGACTATAGAAGCAGCTCTTTACAGCCACTAGATAGTCATAGGCCATGCCCATACGCAATTTAGCACAATGACGCTGTGAGTTATGGGTTATTCTCCTACTGCTAACCTTGCTCTTTTTTAGGTTTGCTCAAAACCAACTATAAGTGCCTCTTTACAATGACTATAGAAGCAGCTCTTTACAGCCTCTAGGTAGTCTTAGGCCATGCCCATACGCAATTTAGCACAATGACGCTGTGAGTTATGGGTTATTCTCCTACTGCTAACCTTGCTCTTTTTTAGGTTTATTCAAAACCATAGAAATCCCCTGGTTATGGGCCTCGTAAGCCACACTGTTGCCTAGAGCCTTCTTAATTCCATGTTCTGTGCCGGGGGAGGTTCAGGAAAGTAAATTGGTCTCCCAGTTGGAGATCATAGAATGCCACTCAAAATTTTTTAACAAAAATATTAACTTGCTGTCATGCAAGCAAAGTTATAGTGATGATATTGATTGCGACCTAATTTAAAAAACAATTTTTATTATCCCATTAAAATTTCTCAATTAGAACTCATCAGGGGCTTTACTCATGGGACCTTGTCAAAGGGGCCTGGATAGCCCTTTGGTTTGTATCCATTTCAAACATGTTGGACATTGTCAACAAATATTTGAAGCCACCACTGCCCTTAATGTTAGTGATATGACATCGTTATACTCATATTTGCAAATCACCAATATTTGACACAGAGAACTTGCGTGGGCAAAGCGTTAGGGCACCATTGTTCTGCTATGTCATGGTGACTGCACTTGCTAAATTGGGTGTGAAAAAAATTTATAAAAAAAAATAATTCACTTTGTAATTGTAATATAAATTTCGAAAGTATGCAGTCTTCACAAGGGAAATAGTTTTAAAAGCTGAGGTGACCTTATGAAAAGCATGATCAATAAATGTGGTAGTTATAGTAACTTTGAATTCCCATCAATTAACAATGAAAATTTGAGCAATGCTCTAGAGGGGTCCTATACAGTTTTAGGTGATGATGCTAATTACAGATCTACCAAACCCCATTGACCTTCACTTTTAAAATCCAGAATTAAACAAAATATTTATAAATAATTAAAACTAGTGTGTGTTTTTAGCTGTTTTGAGCGGGAGAGGATTTGGGAGGGGTTGTCCCCTGCGAAATGAGATTTATTAAAAAAAGTAGGGACCTGGATGGCACTTTTAGACTGTGACAGACATGTGTTGGCTTGGCGTAGGCCTTTTCTTTTATCCCACCACCCGACGAACACCCCTGCCTCCAGTTGATGCTGTCACTGTGTTGCTTGGTACTCTTTTAGTAGGCCAAAATTTTATTTTCTGGACAACTCTTGTATTTAAATAGTATTCATTTCAGTGTCATATGATACTAACAACATCTTCTTTCACACACAATCCCTTTTTGCTAGTTACCGCAATTAATTTTGTAATTTATAAAATTCTTTACCTAAAACCTTCAATAGTGTCATATCTATAGCGCCCTCTGGAGCTTAAAGTGTTTTAATTAGTTAATGATTAATAAAGGAAATTTTTGTTCTTATTGGTATTTTAAAATCTATTACTTTATTTCAATGAGCTTTGTTAGCTTAGTGTTTAGCTCAAATTTGAATGAATAATGAATAATTATGAATGGGTCATTAAAGAGCAAATAATGGAAATTCTGAATCAACCATTTTTCATTTTTAGCAATCAATTTTAATTCCTTCTAATTTATACTTTTCTTTATTACTGTACATTATTCTCAAATTGATTTAAAGTTGGCCATTATTAATTTTATTATTTTGGAATAATATTTAAATTTGCTAATGATGTTTTTTTTTACGGTTGGAATCATGTTTGTCAATATTGGTAAAACCTCTTAGCCTTGACGAATAATCCATCACCTGCGGAAAACACGCTTGTTCACAGTTTTTTTCAATTGAATAATTCATCATCATTACCAAATCACTAGTTAAAACCAACGGAAATATACTTACGATCCTTGACTTCCTTAGCTCTAAAGGGACCTG